AGTGAGTTTAAGAAAAAGCTTTAAGTATATGAATAAAAAGGGCCGGCTTCAAGATTTATTTTTTTTAATCATTTTTTATTTAGTTTAGAGGATGGAACAGCTGAGATGGACCAATAGGTCACATGTTGTCCCAAAATGTTATGTTAATGAATATTTGTTACTTTTATATATTTAATCGATATTTGTTGTTACTTTATTAACATTTTTATGCTTATACTGTGAGCTAAAAACAGCTTTTGCTATGATTTTGCCTTGTTTATTTGCTCGTTGCTGTTCTAATTTAGGATCTTCTTTTTAATAAGTTCTTAAAAATGTTGAAAGAAGAATGGGGGGGCCCATGCTGACTCTCAATTCTCCTGGTTACATATGCAGAATTCAGATAATTATACATAATATAATTTTAATATTAAAATTTACATATAAGTATGCATTTGATGTTCTATGATACAACTCCATATGAATACAAGCTTCTGGTATACTAATGTACTGTGATTATTTTATTTATTTAAAGACGAACGCATGTGGAAACTAACACGATAAAAAAAAACATGCATACATTATGAACTCTGAAACATAAGGAAATGTTTCTCTGGTGTTGATTCTCATAATCTACCTTTTCCAACTTTTAGGTATAGCAAGAGATATTTGCCATCTTGTTCTAAAATGTTAAAACCTAGTTTAGTTTTCAGGTTTTGATCATAATTCTTAAAACACTTTAACCAGAAATTGAATGGCGTATCTATTCAAATCTTAATGCTACCTGTAAAAATGAAATGTGGCTCTGAAAACCAGGTGTAACCATGGGTCAAAAAATTTTATGATTTCACTTGTGTTGTGAATTTGGATTGGTGTGTTTGCTCAGTACTTGTAAACATGTATTACTTGGAAAAAATAAGAGTGTAATGTAATTATTTTTTCATGTCGCTAGGTAAGAAAAGGGGTTTACAAGACTTAAATGGCTAAATTGTAGTTGACTCCATATAACTGAGCCTTGCACATGTAAAATGTGATGCTTTTTTTTTATACTTAGATATTTTTGAAAATGTTTGACAGGTTCAAATCTAAAAAGTAGTAGTTTTGCACAACTAGAGGATGTCGTAGCTTACTTATACTAAATTAACACCTTGATACAAAGAAACCCCAGGAGGTCGCAAAAGTACAAGGTTCTGCTCACCATAAAATGTTATAAAGTCAAGCAGCTTCCCATGCTATGAATGGTTATATACATTTGTACAGTACTGATAACGAGCTAATCGGTTAGTGATTCTTCAGCATGGAAGTAACTTAAACTTTTCAGTGGTCATGTACTTAGAAAATAAGTTATAAGTGAAAGGTAACGTACAAGATACTGTAAAGATATTAGTATGTGATTGGTAATAAACTGGTTATTGAGCAAGTCAAAATTTGGGTGTGAGTATTTGTAAGACTTAAACTTTTTTGCAAATTGTCACATGTAGTTTGTATTAAAATTGAAGGAAAACTTAACCTTTTTTTTTTTTTTTTAGTATCTCATTTTAAAAATGGAGAGGCTACTCCTTAATTCTTATTGTAGAAAATTTTGATCAATTCAGAATATTGATTTTTTTAGGTTCAAAGGATTTACTAGAAATTAGTAGAATGATTACTGGTCTTTAAAATGTTAGCACTTGAAGTTGTTTTATTTTGAACATGAATTTGGGAGGATATGTTTCAGGTGTTTTTAAAGCAATGAAAAATGTATAACCTGTCTGTAACTGGGCAGTATAATTTCTTGAAAAATAGGGCTAGAAATGATTACTTAGAAGAAGAAAAAACATTTCATTACCTGTTCGGATATCACATAATTAAATGGTATGTTAAAAAGAATGGTGTGCTTTAGCTTTAGTTTCTCCCATGTTGAATGAGTATATTAATACAAACTTGTAATTTATTAATCCCTTGCAGATAGGTCTCAGTTGAATGTTTATAAACAACTTCAGTAGTGTTTGATACTTAGTTTGTTTCAAGTAGGCTAAGTTACAAAGTCAAATTTAGCATTTATATCAGCTGATACTGAACTTAAAATTCTCAAGCTTATAAGCTAAAACTAAAATGTAAAGCTGAAAAAGTCTATACAAATTTTATTTATGACTAAAGTATTTGTCAGTTAGAATTATAAACTTAAGTAGCATACCTCATGATGTGGCACATGCTGTTGGTTTGAAGCATTTTAAAACTGGTAGCTAGGTTACGAAGGGCAAAGCCTAAGAGTTTGGAAGGTATGTTTTCAATAAAAATATTTTAATTATTGTTTGATATACCGTGGTGGAATGGGGTATGTGTATAAATTTTTACTATGATGTGCCTTTCTCCATTTGTT